ACGCAAAGATCAAGCAAAGCAGTCTGCAGACCTTCCCTAGGAATGACAATGACTCGTAGTCACTGTGAGCGGGAATGGAAATGATTTTGTACGCAAGGATGCGTTCCAGGCTAACAGCTTCTGTCCTCAGGCAATGGAGGCTGATCGGCAACAGATGAAATGCGGGACTTGTATCAGTTTTGGTGACCACAACAATATAAAAATGATTACAAGTGTTATGTTTATCAAATTGACAGTGTGACGTGATAAATGACCGCCTGGCTTTACTCACCAGAGAGACCAGAATAGCTCGCTTCCTGGTGTGCATACTGAAAGTGCAAATATCACATTTCCTCTGTTTTGAGGAAGTATTTTTGGCAAGCTTTGCAGAACTTATTTTTGTGATTCCAGTTATTCTAGCTGTGACAGAGAAACTCAGATGAGAAAGACAGGAGCAGCAGATCGGACCCAATAAGAATCAGGTTTAGATGCTGGTGTGAAAGCCAGAGGTCACCAAGGTCAGCGTTTGCAAAAGTTAAGGCCTGTGTCAAATCAAAACCGTAATAATGAAGCACGTCATGACTCGGGCTAAAAGCCAGAAACATCGAGAAATGGATAATGCCCAAATGGCAAGGTGTTTCGTCACAAACACGATGGCAAGGGTGACAGTGAGGAATCCATAACATCCATGCTGCTGCCTAGAGTCCAGAACAAAGAGTGGGTTCAATTCTTTCTTATGTTGCTGCTCACAGATGCTGTGTCCCAAAACGTCTCAGATCTTGGCCAGATCACATAGTCTCCAATCCACACATTTTAAATGCGTCTGAGTGTCCTAGGGGAGCACTTCCAGAACCCAGTCATTAAAATGCAATCGCCTAATGAGCACTGATGTCACTGCTGTACACTCGTGGGGAGCTGGCTGTAAACACCGAGTGGTTCCACTGAGGAACAGCTTCCTGTGAGATTATCTGTGACAGTGATGGATGCAATGTGTAAATAGGACTAATCGGAGATGCCGGCCATGTAACCACAGGGCAGGCAGGAAATGAATCCAGCTGAGAACCCTGCACATTCACTTGCTTATTTTGGCCTTTCAAAAGATGAAATAAATTAATTTCGTTTAGCACAGATGCAAACGTTTTCCACAGCAGAAGTTCTGTAGAAACCACAGAGATTCCCAAGCCTGCACCAAGCCAGAGTTTTCACATCGATGCTTGACAAAATTATTTTGAGATCCCTGTTTGGCAGGACCTACAGACCCTGCCAGCAAAGCGTTATGGATCAGTGACAATGGGAACACATCTGAAGCAGCAGGATTTTGTTTCTTTCCTTTTAAACAGCAGCAGCAAAAGGAGGTTTTCTAACATGAACTATGCACGGGCGTTACAATGCTTCTCTTCCACTAATCTGAAGTATCCCACGTGCCAAGTTCCTCCCCTAGGATGAGTCTTTTAAGAGTACTGCTAAAGAAACTCCCTGGTTTAGCAGGCTGCAAGCTCCCCTACTTGAGATTTACAATAAATCTGTTTTCTTCTTAGTATTGCTTTATGAAAATGCAAAAACAGCTTTTTATCTGAAGATAAACAAAACAACCATATGTTGGATCATGTAATTATTAAATTGTAGGTCCAATTATGGTTTCCATTAAGGAGCAAACATAAATATTGAGCAGTGATAAATTGTTAAGGAGTTACTGAAGAACAGCAGATGTATTAAAGCCAAGTTAATTCAAAACGTATCATTTTGATTTTGAACTCTTAGGAGAAATATGGAAATACATATTGTCAGCCTAAACTCTTCAGTGAAATTTCTTTCCATGTGTATTTTTCACAGCACAGTAAAAAAATTGTGCTGCTTTTTTTTTGCTCTTCCCACAAAGATGAATATCTCTTCCCTTCAGCAGAAGCTAAACCAAACATACCCCACAAAAGTTGCACTGGTGAGATTGGATTTGAATAAGAACCATGGCAGAGCTTGGCTGTGCAGAAGCCTGGGCTGTGCTAGAACATGAGGACGGACATGAAGGAGGCAAAGCTTACACTCACCTGGTGAGTAACAGCAATAGCCTGAAGAAAGATGCAGAGGGATTGCTGGCAAAGGAGAACATCTCGCTGTGCTCTGGTTCTCTGGGCTGAGCTCAACCACTCGATTAGGGCTTCACTTCTGTTCAGCCAAAGGGAAAGTCTGGATCTTTCAGTGCCTGCCTTTAAAAGAGAAATACGACATTTTCAGTGTATAATGCAATGCCATTATTACTAATGGGAGCAGTTAATTCTTTCACAGAGGGCAGCTACTGGGTCCACACAAGTCAAGTGTGACTTTACCATCAGCTGCCATGGGACCTCGTCAAACACTGACAGAAGCCAGTGTGGGCATGTTTCAGGTGAGGAACAGGCCCAAAGAGATCAGGACATCACCTCAAGGAACCTCCTGTACTTCACTCAATTTTGCTTTTTTGTCCCATAAAGATTGTTTTGAAAATACCTTTCCTATTCAGTGAAATATGAAAGCTCTTGAAAAATGTATTTATTCTTTTCTACAAGCAATAAATCATGTGAAATTTACTGAGAGATGATCTTGATCTGAGGGCTTAAACATCCCGAGTCTCCTTCCTAAAAGCTTTGTGAACATATTTCAGTGGTTAGAGCAATGGTTGGGAATCAGGGCTTTTGGTTCTCATCCCAAATTTCTTTAGAGCTTTCTAGGTCTCTGGTCATAATATTCTGTGTCTGCTTTTTCTGGCTCAGAATAACTTATTAATTTTTCTATACCATCATCTTGCAGTGGACAAAACAGCCCAGAAGCATCTATAGGGTCATTCATACTGTTGCTGTAACTCCTGTAGCCTGCAGTGCAAACCAGAAATATTTATCAGCACCAGCACCACTGCTGACAAAACACAGGCTGACTTGATGCGGATTTGGCTGTTTCAGGGCCTGGATTTAATATTAAGCTTTCTATTACAAAACCTGCAAAGGGAAAAAAAAAAAAAAAAAAAAAAAAGAGGTTGTTAGTAATTGTTCCCTTCCTCCCCACTCCCTCAGAACTTCCAAACGCATTCTCAGGAGATGTACCAGATGGATGCATTCGGGAGGGGCACTATTGCCACTGTACTCTATTTCAAGCATCTGAGACCTAACACCCATTGCTTTAGAGCCATTGCAGGGTGGATGGGACAAGCCATTCGGATGTGTGCTGGGGAGAGCCCAGCGCTGGTGGGTGCTGAAAGAGATGGCTTAACAGGTTATTTCCATCTGTGCGTGACGTGGGTTAGTGGCAAGGCCACCACAGTTCCCTTCTGAGCCATGGTTCGTGCTACAAATTGTTCTTAAGGCAGCTTATATGAGCTGCGGCAGATGAATGCAGCCATTATTGTACACATGACAGGCAAAAAAGAAAAGCTCAAGTGGAGAAGCTTCACTGTTGGAGAAAGGTGAAATAAAATAATGCATTCCATATTTATTTGCTCTCTGGTAAAGGGCAGAATATATGATTAAAGACAGCTGTGGTTAAAGCCAGTTTGAAATAAGCAGGATGCGATATATAAGCCTACTCTGAAACTGAAAATGCAGTTTAAAAGCATAACCCTGCTTTGTGAAGATGCTTTGGTCACAAAAGGCCGTTGTTTTCCACTGAGTGTTTCCCATTCAGCCTGATTTTAAAATTTGTATTGCATATGCAATACATGTGAGTTTTCTTTAATTTTTTACCTTAAAAAACCCCACAATAGATAACATCTGTCTTGTTACATTTCAGGAATTTGGAGTCCCAGCAGAGGTTTTTTTTCAGCTCTTTTGAATATTAGTACCTCCTGTCCTCCTCAGCTCAACAAGCCCCAAGGAAAAGGCCACGGTGGGACTCTTACGGGAACTCGCCCATCGTGCAGGAATTGCAAGGAACTGGACAAACTGTGGAAGGTGATGAGGTGACGTTTTCTCCCCAGGGATCGGTGCCTTACCTGAAAAACACAATGAGGCATTAGCATTAAAAAAAGGAGAACTATTTAATTTTTAATCAATTAGCTATGGCATAATTGGAATCTTTTCCAGCCCCTCACTCAGATAACACTGAAGAGGTTTCTTTGGTAGATGTATTGTTCCTATGACATCTCCAACATAAATTGTACTTAAGAACAGGAAACTAAATTGACATCAAGCTCCTGTGTGAATTGGTAATTTGTGCTGATCAGCCTAAAAAATCAATGCATTTTTACATTATGCAAACTGAAATGAGAGATTTTTTGTTATTTATTGTCAAAATAAAAAAAAAGCCAACCCACTCCACAATTTTTTGTGTTGAACTAAAGACTTTTTATCTGGCTGGGAGATTGTAAATGAAAATAAAGCCACTGATATAAAAGATAAAGGAGGAGTTTTAAGAGGACAAACTTGAAATTAGAAGTAGGTGCTTATAATTTCTGAGAAATGGTTTAAAAATTAAAATCTCTGCTTACAAAATATTGTATCAAGCACAGCTTCAGCTGGCTCTTGCAGGAGACTTGAGGAACCCAGAGTTTCAAGTTAGCACACTGTAGGTTTTGTGTCCAGCACGTGGCACCTGAGACTGTGGAGGGCAGTTTAAGGTCGGTTAGAAGTTCTTCTAGGAGCTTAAGACAATGCTGTGCATAGTTTTGTGCAAAATTATTCCCATTAAAGTGCATTTTAGAGAAACTATGTACACTTGTCACAGGTGTTTGGGGGAAAATGATGGCATCATCCCAAGTCCAGTAAAACATCAAGTTCCAGAAGCAGAAGCCCAGGACTGCTCCCTGCCGATAGCCGTGCTTGTCTGGGTGAGCAACAGCCATTTTGCAAAGTTGCAATCTCACTTCCCCAAATGACGACTGTAAAACCAGAACTCAAAGTCGCACGTAACGTGCAGCTGCAGCGGCAGTGGAGGTGGAGAACCTCCTTCTTCCCGCTACCTGCTCTGGAAGCTGCTCGACAGTCAGTTGGGGACAACCCAGCCTGAGACAGCATGCGGGAGCCCTCCTGAGCACGTCCCTTGCGCCTGGCACCGCTGCTGTGAGGAACTCAGAGACACGGTTTCTGAAACTGCGCAGTTTTTTTAGAGGAAGATGGAGAACCCACTTCTCTTATTCCCCCAACTCAACATTTCTGCTTCAAAGGATAAATCCTATTACAAAGTCGTGAAGCCAGCAATTAAAGAAGAGCACCATAAAGCAAGCAAGCCTGGGTAAGTTTTAAGGTCACGCTGACACTCCGAGTGTTCTGTTTACAGAGAGGAATCTTCTAACGCAGCTTGTGGGTATGAATTTAGGGCACGGATCATTTTGGTTGTGACTGGTAAAATGAAAGCTCATGAATTGCAATCATAGGAATTGTATATGTAAAGTATTAATTCATCATGGAAATGCTTTTGGAGAACAAGAAAAAAAAATCAAATAATGAACTAAGAAAATAGGAAAAGGAGATTTAAAGAAGTTGTGAGAAATGTGTCTTTAAAGCCTGAAGATGATCTGGGGAAGTTTCTTTTTAAATTTTCAAGGAAGCAGTGCTTCCTTTTTCTTTGCAAAACATTAAAAGCAGAAGATGCTGAGCCAGCTGTTTGCGTTCTCTAATGTGATTTTTCACCACCTTATCTTTAAAATAAATGAAAAAGATACTGAAAATGAAAATATTTCCATTTCGCTTTGCCAGTGCTTCATATGCAAATTTCTGCTAAGCTAGAAGAAAAAAATCATGAATGTGACTAATCTATGTAGGAGAAGTAAATTCCACATTACTATAAGTGAACATGGGAGGATCTGTGATGCAGAGACAGATATTAGTCAAAGGAGATGTTTGAGAAAAAAAAAAAAAAACAAACCAACTTTTGACAAGATTGCTTGAAAATCTACTCTAATTCTGTTACAGAGCTAAGCAGAAGAGAAATAGGCTGAGCCTTCTGCTGCAGAAATCTGAATTCCATGAAGGTGATCATCTTGGTAAACCTGGAAACTTGACAAAAGCAGCAAGGTAAGCATTATGCAACAGTGAGTCGCTGGGGATTCCTCCCAGGATGTGTCTGACTCGGAACACTTCCTGCATTTGCTCATGTGTGTTCAGCCCTGGCACAGAATAATGCTTTCAAAATCTATTTAATTTAAAAGTTACCAGCTTAACCCAAGCATACAGACACTACAGAATTATCTGGTATGCATCAAGGGAACTCATCACCAGTGTGTTCACACCCCTAAGTGTAGCTTGGTCCCCTTATACCCACAGATGTGTTCAAACCTTTACTCATGCCAACAGCATTTTTATGAGTCCACTGACAATATTGAGCAAGCATCAACTCAGAAACATAGTAGACAAATTACTGCTTCCAGGGAAATCGTACAGCTCCCTGGAAAGCAGGTTTTCCAAAGAATTCCGTGATGTGCAAATGCCAGATGCATACGTGTGTTCTATACTGCATGCATGCCAAATGCATAGTTCCTCAGTAATTGCAGGAATTGTTCAAACACTCACCTCCAAAATTCACATACTGATGTTTAAACACTGTTGGAACATTGTCTGTGTTAGACTATTTCTCGGAAGGATGCAGGGTGAAATCTTGGTTTTGTGTATTTGGTAAGGGTTTAGTTCCTGACTTCAGCAGGGTACCAAGACCTCACTGATTCATTAAGAACTGCGTTTGTAGGTCTTGACTGAAAACGAGCACGTAAAGTACTGCGACTCCATGCCCTGAAAAATTTGCCACCCCTTTCTTTCCATCACAGATCACTTCAGAACACCTCAGTGCTTCCTTGCTTTTGTCTTGTTGAGCTTGATGAACATTGTTGAAGCAGTTCCCATCTTTGAGGCCAAGCTGCCTGCTTTGACCAGAACTGCTTCTACAAGCCCTCGCTAGTTGTGAACACGTGGGAGAATTTGCATAACGGCCCAGACTTTCTAGAACTCATGAGAAAGCAGCCGAGAAATGGGTATCTAAATGCCTGCAGCTATGGATCTAGATAATTAGGCAACGTTTCTGGCTCACATCTTCAAATATCATCCAGGTGATAGCGTGTGCTCATGGTCTGAAAGACTCTGCACCCCGCGCTCATGGAGGGTTTCATTACTTTCAACGTGCTGTCCAGGTGTGTGCTCAGGGTTAACCTACGCACCACCAAAAATGGGTTTCCCAAAAAGTTGTATTTCAGTGAATGAGGCAGGCTGTTCCTTTTTCCTTTCTGCATTGTTCTCTAAGGAGGAATATTTGAAATCAAAGTGAAATATATGCAGGTTAGCATCTTTAATAAGGAATATGTGGAAGTTTATAAATGGAGTTTATAAATGTCTCAGAATAACGTATTTGTGGTAAACAAACTGAGCAACGTGTGCTATTACCCTGAAAGACTATCAGCTAAACCGTGTTCCTACAACTTTGCCTACAGGCTCTAGAATTTCCTGTATTTCATTAAAAATAGACTGCGGTAACACAGCCTCAGACCGAGTTCCTTTAAAACCATGTCTCTGCAAGAGTATTTTTTCGATTTAAATAGGTGACTGACCTGGTTCTCTCATGAGTTCTACCATACTGCTTGATCTCAACTCCCTTAAAGATCAGTAGCACAACACAAACACCCAAGAGAAAAGCTTTTAAACAGAGGGGGGGGAAAGTACAACTCTGCAGGTAAAACATTGGAAAAAAATTAACCCACATGTTGCTGAAGTCCCTAAGAGAATGAGCCCCTTTAGGAACGTGACCTAAGCAAAGGCTCTGTGAACCAGTCCTGAGCTGTGATGGTAACAGATAACGTATGTTAACAGCAGTTTCATAAGCACACAATATGCACAACTCTTCAAAACCCATTTCTGTTTCTCAAGCAGTGTGTCTCCTGAAGAAGCAGTGAAATGGGGAGAATCTTTTGACAAACTTCTTTCTGAGAAAGGTTAGTAGCCTTTACCTCTCCCTGCAGACTGTTAGGATGGAAAATTGATGGAAGATGATAGAAAATTATAAAATCCAGTTGTGCACTTAAACAGACCTAGCAGTTACCTGAACTAGGTATGATGGGTCATTTACAGCAGAGCATGTTTCTGCTTTTCTCATGTGCTTGGGCTATGGCATGCTGTCAGCTACTGAAAGTAGGTGAAAATAATTTTTAAAGTTTCATATTTTATTTAACAAAGTAATATAACAGACAGCAAAAAGTGCCTTCAATAAGCAGTAGAATTTCAATTGAATATTGCTCTAATATTCCTGACTACAAGACCAAACCTTAAAAATGAAAACAAGTTCTACGTACTTGAGAAAATACTTTGTCACTGCTGATACAGTTTGTTTCTAAAACAGTGACAAGGTCAAAACTGGCCATCGTTTGAAAAGGTATGTTGCTTACATAATTATCAAATGCACATATATCCCTCCTTCCATCGTGGAGGGATATTGTACGATCCAGCCACAGTGCTGGAGACAATGTCCTTTCCAAATCTGTTCCTTGAACAGCTGCCATCAATGGGATTGCATTACTTCCACAGATTAAGCATATTTGGGAAATAACATATCTTCAGCACAGTAACAGCAGAATAAAGTGAATTGTGAAGACGTTTAAAGACATTCATTCTAAGTTGTTACTGGAGATTCAAATAGTGTTTTGATCAACCTAAACTGATATCCAGCTGGAACAAAGCGTCACTTCCAAATATATTGTTTGGATTGCTTCTATTTCTAAATGCCTGAGACCTCGGTAGTGGATTTTCACAGATGCTGAGAATTCTGTAACAGGTGTTACAGCACTCAGGATCACAATGAAGGAACTGCTCTTATTTTAAAACCTTTATGCATTTTAAAATAATTATCTATAATGTGATGCAATTCAAAGGGAGCACAACCTGTTTTGTTCCCTTGCACAGCCTGTGTGAAAAGAGTAACTGTCTGATAAGGATATGTTTGTTAAATGCAATTCACCACTCCCTTGTGTAGCCGGATTGGATGCCTTTACGAAGTTTCTGAAAACTGAGTTCAGCGAGGAGAACATCGAGTTCTGGATAGCTTGCGAGGATTACAAGAAGAGCAAAACTGCACATGAGCTTTTGCCAAAAGCTAAAACTATTTATGAAACATTCATACGGAAGGATGCTCCAAAAGAGGTACAGTAAAAGCATTCTTCATTGCACACAGTATTTGACACAACTGCATTTTGACACAACTTCTTTTAAGAAGTGCATGCCCAAAGCAGGGGCAGCAGCTTATCGTGCAGTCACTGACATAAGCAGGGTATCTTAAATCTCAGAGCTCTGGGAGGAAATCTGGAAGTGACTACATAGATAATTCTCACTGTCCTCCATTCTCCTTTCCATTCCCCATCCACGTTCATCTTCTAAGCGCAGAGCATGAGTTTAAATATCGTATCATAGGAATCAGAGATTCCTAGTGTCCAGTAAAACCAGGATATATACACACACATACAGGGTATATTTAAGAAAAAACTACAGTGTTAAATGTTAAAAGCTGCCATAAGACATATCAGCAGCATTTGTGAACAAGTATTATCTGTCTGTATGGAAAGCCAGAACAACAGACTTATTCTCCCTGTCTCTTAAACCAGTTACTATCTATTAAATTATTACATAACTGAGAGTCAGAAGATTTTATTTTTAATAAGCCAAAAGATAAAAGAGACTAGAAGAAACTATTAAATTAAACCTATCCTTTAAAAAAATAAGTATGTTTCAAGCATGGACTTTTCCTTTTTCCCCCTTTCCATATTCTTTCCCCCCTTGCATATTCTTGGTGCGTTGGTCAGCACATACACAAAAATATGTTTTCTGTAGTATTAGGATACAGTTGTATCAGGGATTCAAGGTCCTCTCATCAGAAAAGACTTTCACCAAGGTGTCATTGCTATGAATAGTAATACAGAAAATGCATGAATGTACATGAAATAAATACACCTTATCCCATTCTGCAGGTGAATTTGGACTTTCAAACCAAAGAAGTCACAAGTCAGAGTATTGAACAGCCCATCATCACCACCTTTGATGCAGCACAGAACACAGTCTACAGGCTGATGGAGCAAGACAGCTACCCACGCTTCCTGAGATCTGATCCTTATCTAAATCTGGTTAAGGGGAGGAATCCCAGCCGTCCTGGTCTTAGGAGACGATCCCGGTCTTTTACTGTCAATGATTTCCAGGGTGTACGACCAGACTTTACCGTTTGGTAACAGGGAAATTCTAGCTACTGCAGCAACTTGCGTGTGTTTTAAAATCCGAATCTTTAGCTGGTGTAAATGATTGGAAAGCAAAGTTACCTGCACTTACCCCAAGTCAGGATTCTGTAGCTGGTGACCAATCTCATTTATTATAGAGAAGTGAGCAACATATTAGCAATGCCTATCATATAAAGTTTTCAGACAGTATTTTTTTTTTAACTCAAGCAAGAGCTGTGATCATATTTGGCAGAAAAATCTGAGTTTCCTACATGAAAATGTTCTGTAACTTCCATTTGATAATATCCATCTTGTATCCTGGGCCTGCATTATTTAGTTCAGAGTTTAATCACAGTTAGAATCGATACACCTAGCCTTTGCACATATTTATGGTTCTGCAATATTTCCTACACTAAGCACAGAGTATTTGTGGTATTTTCTCATACTGCAAAACACATGGGAACATTACTAGGTATAACGTAAGGTTACATGGCTTTTGACTACAGCCACTGCATAACTAAAATTTAGCTATTGCATTTAAGAGGAACAAAAGGATACCTATTTAATTTTTATAGGGGTACATTCTGTATTGTTTTCTTATGACATGTATCTGTTCTCTGTATTTAAGTTATGCTGTATAGATTAGCTTTGCCATCAAATACTTGTATTCTAATTTTTTGCAACCAGTTTAGCAGCAACAAAGAGCCAAGAAAGCTATTTTAATGCGATCTGTGTCATTTTTTACATACCAGGTTGTGTGTGTGTATATATATGTAAATACTTTTATTTGTAAAAATTCATTATATTCCAACTTTATTACTGGACTTTGTTCTAATTTTTTTTCTGCCTTTTATTTTGAAAAAGAATCTGAAAATTAACAGCTCTGGGACTCAGGTAGAATAACCTTCTGTTCTGCCGGCCATTAATGTGCTCTCTACGGTTATAGAGCAGGAAGGAGAAATCTCCCCTTTTATTTTATTACTGTTGAAGTCACACATATCCTTTTCACAGTCCACGTACGCCATTATCCTGTCCTTCACTTTCAGAATTGATGCAGACATACCTTGTAGCATGGGGCAATTCTTAAAATTTTAAGCATTGGTTCTGTTTCACAAGTGACCGAGGGATTTAGCTGTAACTACAACTTGTGTGTTCGGTCACTTTTCATGGAATTTACACTTTCTCCCTTTTCGTCCCCTTGCAGTCAGTGGGCAAAATGAAGAGGTGTGGTTCCTGCGGATGGGACTTTATGCTCGTGACCAATTCAGGGTATATA